TGTTTTGCCCGGATTTCATTCTCGGATTGGCTTTCATTGAGGTAAACCCAGTTAGCAATGCGCCAGGTTTCCAATAAGTTCATGCGTATTTACACTAATCTTGTTAACAGTGTAAATGGTTGTTAGTTTACACTTTTACGTGCGCACGCATGTTGATATTTTCCTATAAGTGATAGGAAGTGGGAAAAGGGCGTCGACTAACGAATGGCGATAATGCTGCATTGTGAAGCCACATGGAATCTCAATCTATAGCATGCATGATTATCATAATGAGAGGTTGTCAACAATTCTGCACCCTGAAGTTCGTCGCATTTGTACGCATCACGAGCATTTGTAAAAACTCTTTTAACGCTTTTATTGCTGTACGAGAAATGCATGCATTCTCTTGTGATCCCTATTTTCTCAACTCTCTAATTACCGAGAGGAAGATGGCGAAAATGTCGCAGTTTAAACACTTGACGCTTCCATGCGCAAAGCACGTTCAAAAAAATCGGCCAATTTTACCTTGCAAGCTCATACATAGACAGTAAACATTCTAGTAAAATTGTGGTTTCCTGCTGAGTGTGGTTAAAAAGTTAAATGAGTGTAAAATCTGTCCAAAGCTGGAATTTTACTTATGCATAATACGAGGCCTAGGCACCTCTCGAATTGAGTTTAAAATCTTCAATTCACAAATAGTTACGGAATATCTTCGTAAAATTTCAGCTTTCTAGCTTGATTGGTTTCGAAATCGCTTTTTCGCTACTAATATCTTCAACATGCTTTTACATTTGACGCAGGCGTAATCCAAAACTTACTTTAAGTAGGAAAGTCCGCGCATGAACGGTAAATATTCTCGCAAAATTACATATTTTTTCCGGTAATCCTCGAGTTCGTGGGACCCCAACGACGAACTTTGAGCGTCCGTACACGGTACCTAGCATAAATGATAGCTGAATTTGAAATCCTTAGCTCGGTACAAAGACACCGTTCTCGAAATCATTTCCCGCCTAACTCATGTTTTTCTTTAGGCATCCATACCTGAAGCCTCGGTCGTGAATATTGATTTTAAAACAAAAGATTCACACTTGAAGTGGAACATGCTCCAAAAATTTCAGCTTTTTAGCTAGTGTGGTTGTGGAGTTGAAAGGAGGGACAAAGTGTAAATACACACACATAGGCGTGCGCAAACACACACACACACACGCGACAAAGGCAACCTCTTTTCAATCTGCGTTTTTCGTTTGCATAAATATGCAAAAATGTATAAAAATCTGTCTTGTGTTGGTGTGTATACGCGACACATGCTTACGATGGATCACATAAATCGTTTGTTGGCTTTATCTCAAAACCAACTAGCTTTCAGACGCACTCTTGGATATACAGTACATCTAGGCATCTCTGCCAGACGGTTGGTTTCCTGAACACGCCCACGCTGCCGTCTCTTCATCACATTAATTGCTGAATAAGCTTGCGGGAACATCCGAATTCTGTGCTGTGGAAGATGCGAGAGCATGCGAGTCGCCATGTGACAATTGCTGATCCGACGCCTGTCCCCTCCTCAACTCGTTCCAGCTCGCCTACCAATGACGTCCCCAGCAGAAAGTATCATTTTTTTTTTCTTGCCAAGTAGCAGCTGCAAAATGATTTTCCTCACCTTGTTTTCCGTTGCTAAAGAACAATATAAATACTGTGACTGTATTAGGCTGACGACTGTCACATAGACAGATGTTATGATCCCCGTTCAATTTTTTCAGGACATTTGTGCACAGGCGTCTGCGTACAATTTCGGGCTCAAAATCCGAAGATCACCTGATGATGACGGAAAGTGGACGTGTAAGTCTCGTCTTTGTTTCTGTATATGTGATGAGTGTTGAATCTGAAAAAATTTTTTTAATTGCATGAAATTTTGAGCATTGTCGACTTTTTATCTTCCTGATTTTTTGACTTTGGCTTCAAATTGATTCGTGAAAGGGACTAATGGTTTAATAATCCTCGGCGGCTGTCATTTTATGCTTGTGTGAAATCCGAAGCAACTACGAGAGGGGCAACACCTTATCGGGTACTACTGTGTTGTCTCACGTCTCTGGGGATGCGCGATGAACAAAAAGGCTTGCGTAATTTGTCATACACTGGTACTTTAATCAGTTGTCTCATCTTTGCTTTTTTTCTTGTCATCGATATGGTTGACAGCGTCTCCGTTCTTCTTCATTTTGGGTCTCCCTTGTCTGCGTAATTTCATATCGCCATGCGGGTAGATCTTTCTGCACACGCAGTGAACCACTACCAACTAGACTGCAAGCCCTAAACTGAAGAAATACAATGATCATTTAATGGTTCTGAATGCTTAAACCCTGAGCAGTTAGATAATGCGTTACTGCATGCTTAAAATCTACGCATTATTTAAATCAGTTTTTTTCAAAACAGTTTTTCGCAAGTGAAAGACCTGGAAAAATTATTATTTATAATTTGCAGCGCGTTTATACAAAGGGGCGCCCGCCATGGTATGATCGAGAAGGAAAAAATCTCAAGCAACCGTATGTTATCGGAATTTGTGGTGGTTCTGCTTCTGGAAAGACTACTGTTGCTAGAAGAATAATTGAACGACTTGAAATGCCCTGGGTTACCGTCCTTTCCATGGATTCTTTTTACAAAGTATTTTCATTTTCATTGATTTGTGCAGCTTTTGTCGGTGTTACAGATATGTCAGACCTATTTTTTCCGGAGTCAGCTATTTAATAAATGTGCAAGATTAATATTTGTGAATTGAGTGAAGGAAAATGTTCAGGTCCTGAGTGAAGAGCAGCACCACTTGGCAGCTAGGCATGAATATAATTTTGATCATCCGCAGGCCTTCGATTTTGATTTGATGTACGAAACAATACGCCGCCTTCGCGACGGGAAGAGCGTTGAGGTGCTCCATTTTTACTTCATAGACTTAATTAGCGTCTTTTATTCCGTAAAGATAAAAAAAAAA